CAAGCCAGAAATTCAGAAGCAGAATGGAAGAGGGCGACCCTTAAGTTTTTTCCCTAGGGTGTTTTAGGGGTTGTATAACTTGGGTTATCCGATAGTGAAGTTAAGATAACCAAACCCCTGAACTTTTGTTTAAACGGTGATTGAGGATGTTAGTCCGTATTTATGTCGTAATATGATGTTTGTATATTTGGTGTTGTATGAATATGTGGTTCTTTGGATTGTTCTTGTTTCTACCCCGTTGTCGTCATTATTTGTCCGGGGTTTTGTTATTCGCTTCCGCATGTGGCTCTGATGTTTGGGTTGGGTCGGCGACGTTCCTGGGACGTCACATCATTTCGACCGGAGCAGGGGATGTCGCGAGCTCGTTGGGGTTCGGGGCGTGACAATTAAGTCCTAAACCTTTTATATTGGTGCCAATTGAGTCCTAAACCTTTTGCATTGGTGCCAATTGAGTCCTAAACCTTTTTTTTGTGTCAATTCAGTCCTAAACCTTTTGCATTGGTGCCAATTCAGTCCTTCCAGCTAATTTAGCTCAAAAAGATTTAGGACTGAATTGGCACTAATGCAAAAAGTTTAGGACTAAATCGGCACCAATGCAAAAGGTTTATGACTCAATTAGCACCAAAAAAAGGATTAGGACTCAATTGGCATAAATGCAAGAGGTTTAGGACTGAATTGGCACCAAAAAAAGGTTTAGGATTAAATTGGCACAAATGCAAAAGGTTTAAGACTAAATTGGTACCACAAAAAGTTTTAGGACTAAATTGACACCAATGCAAAAGGTTTAGGACTTTTTTTACACTTTTGCGGCCTATGGTGACATCATAACAATAATAGAGGGACAAAACAGTAATTCAGACGTAAACTGAATCTCTAACATTCATGATGGCTGAAATTTTTAGCACTTTCCGTACTTACTCGAATATTTTTATTTTTCTTTTTAAGTTAAATAATTCGTTATTTCAAAAGAATTACAATTCACTTTTTCAACAGATCAAAACCTTAAAGACCTTTTCTCTAAATACTTGAAATTTGTAATCATTTGGATTATAAAAAAAATCTCATTATATATTGTCAGCCAATCCAACTGCCCCAAGAAGTTTCTTTTGGATCCATCCCTCCCTGGAAGTGCCTTGAGTCATATATAAATTTTCTCTACTTTCTTCTTTCAATTACAATTTCTCTATTTTTTCCTTTTAGTTATATTTTGCATTTTGAATTTGTAACATTTATTACATAACACTTTAGTCTTGGACAATAGAAAGGTCTCAAAACTAGTTATGCATGTGGTGAACGTGGAAGGAGTTTGCAAACAAATGGCTAACATGTACTCTTTTAAAATGGCGACCGTGCATTATTTTACGGAAAAGCTTTAGCATTCCGATGCTCTAATTTTCAGTAGTACCTTAATTGCTTTTCTCTTTAATTGAAGTTTATTTATGTATTCGGTCGTTGAGAAAAACATTGGCTCTGGCAATAATTATGTAAGATATGACCATGAAAGAATGAAACAAGCGCCAAACATGCATTTTTTTAAGGATAGTGGCAAGCACGCATTACACAAAGACAATTTCCAGTCTCTCAAATCTTTTGCTATATTTGGAATACAAACATTTATCTTTTACCATCTTTCAAATGTTAGATTGTTGCGTGTGTGCCCATTTGCTAATATATAATAAAACAAGAAACTCAACGAACTTTTCTCAATAAGTTCCATCAAAAGCCTAATGGTGACATTTTAATGACATAACATTAATAGAGGGAAAATCGTAACTCATATGTAAACTGAATCTCAAAAATTCATATTTCCTTAAAATTTTAGCACTTTCCAAACTAACTCGAATATTTTTATTTTTCTTTGTAAGTTAAATAATTTGTTATTTTGCAAGAATTACAATTCACTTTTTCAAATAGATCAAATCTCTAAAAACCTTTTCTCTAAATGCTTAAAATTTATAATCGTTTGGATTAAAGAAAAGTTTTTCATTATATATTGCTAGCCAACCCGGCCGCCCCAAGAAGTTTCTTTTGGATCCATCTCTACCTAGAAGTGCCTTGTGTCATATATAACTTTGCTATACTTTTTTCGTTTAATTTCAGTTTATCTATTTTTTTCCCTTTAAATTTCATATGCATTTTGAATTTGTACCATTTATTGCATAATAATACTTTAATCTTGGACAATAGACTGGCTTCAAAGCTAGTTATGCATGTGGTGAGCGTGGAAGGAGTTTGCAAACAAATGGCTAACATGTACTCTTTTAAAATGACAACTGTGCATTATTTTACGGAAAAGCTTTAGCACCCCGATGCTCTAATTTTCAATAATACCTTAACTGCCTTTCTCTTTAATGAATAAATTTGTCAGTTTTGAAGTTTATTTATATATTCGGGCATCGAGAAAAACGTTGGCTCTGGCAATAATTATGCAAGATATGACCATGAAAGAATGAGACAAGCGGCAAACATAAGGATAGTGGCAAGCATGCATTATTCAAAGACAATTTCCAGTTTCTCAAATTTTGTTGCCATATTTGGAATAAAAACATTTATCTTTTACCATCTTTCAAATGTCAATTTTTTGCACACATGCAACATGTGTGCCCCATTTGCTAATATATATAGGGATAAGTGTACTTGAAGTCCTAAAACTTTTCACAAAAGTGCAATTGAGTCCTAAAACTTTCAAAAAGTGCAAGTAAGTCCTAAAACTTATCGTGAAAGTGCAATCGAGTCCTAAAACTTTGAAAAATGCAATCAAGTCCTAAAATTTATCACAAAAGTGCATTCGAGTCCTAAAAGTTTCAAAATGTGTAATCAAAGGAAGAACTTGATTAGATCAATTTGACAAATTTTAGGATTTGATTGCACTTTTTAAAAATTTTAAGGCTCAATTGCACTTTCGTGATAAGTTTTAGGACTTGATTATATTTTTTCAAAGTGTTAGAACTCAATTGCACTTTCGTAACAAGCTTTGGACTTTCAATGCACTTATCCATGTATAATAAAACAAACTCAAAGAACTTTTCTCAATAAGTTCCATCAAAAGCCTTGGTGACATTTTAATGACATAACATTAATAGAGGGAAAAATCGTAATTCAAATGTAAACTGAATCTCTAAAATTCATATTTCCTTAAAATTTTAGCACTTTCCAAACTTACTCGAATATTTTTTATTATTTATAAGTTAATAATTTGTTATTTCATATGAATTACAATTCACTTTTTTAAATAGATCAAATATCTAAAAATATTTTCTCTAAATGCTTAAAATTTATAATCATTTGGATTAAAGAAAAGTTTTTCATTATATATTGCCAGCCAACCCGACCACCCCAAGAAGTTTCTTTTGGATCCATCCCTCCCTGGAAGTGCCTTGTGTCATATATAACTTTCCTCTACTTTCTTCTTTCAATTTCAGTTTCTCTATTTTTTTCCTTTAAATTTCATATGCATTTTGAATTTGTACCATTTATTGCATACTAATACTTTAATCTTGGACAACAGATTGGCCTCAAAGCTAGTTGTGCATGTGGTGAACGTGGAAGGAGTTTGCAAACGAATGGCTAACATGTACTCTTTTTAAAATGGCAAATGTGCATTATCTAACGGAAAAGCTTTAGCATCCCAATGCTCTAATTTTCAGTAATACCTCAACTACCTTTCTCTTTAATGAATAAATTTTTCGGTTTGAAGTTTATTTATATATTTGATTGTCGAGACAAACATTGGCTCCGGCAACAATTATGCCAGATATGACCATGAAAAGAATGAGACAAGTGGCGAACATGCACTTTTTTAGGATAGTAGCAAGCATGCATTATTTAAAGACAATTTTTTCAATCTCTCAAAACTTTTGCCATGGTAGGAGTGAAAACTTCCATGTTTCAAATGTCAGTTTCTTAAACACAAGCAGTGCATCTGCCCATTTGCTAATATATAAAAAAACAAACTCAAATAACTTTTCTTAATAAGTTCCATGAAAAGCCTATGGTGACATTATAATGGCATAACATTAACGGAGGGACAAGATCGTCATTCAAACGAAAACTGAATCTCTAACATTCATGATTCCTTAGATTTTCGGCACTTTCCAAACTTACTCTAATTTATTTATTTTAATTTGTAAGTTAAAATAATTTGTTATTTCAAATGAATTACAATTCCCTTTTTGAAATCAATCAAATCTTTAAAAACCTTTTCTCTAAATACTTGAATTTTCTGATCATTTGGATTGAGTAAAAGTTTTTCATCATATATTATCGGCCAACCTAGCCGCCTCAAGAAGTTTCTTTTGGATCCATCCCTACCTGGAAGTGCCTTGTGTCATATATGACTTTTCTCTACTTTTTTCTTTCAATTTCAGATTATTTTTTCCTTTTAATTTGATATGCATTTTGAATTTGTACCATTTATTACATAACACTTTAGTCTTGGACAATAGATTGGCCTCAAAACTAGTTATGCATGTTGTGCGCATGGAAGAGTTTGCAAACAAATGGCCAACGTTTATTCTTTTTAAAATGGCAACCATGCATTATTCTACAAAAAAAGCTTTAGCATCCCGATGCTCTAATTTCCAGTCAGATCTTAACTGCCTTTCTCTATAATGAATAAATTTGTCCTTTTGAAGTTTATATGTGCATTTGGTCGTCGAGAATAACTTGGCTATGGCAATAATTATGCATGATATGACCATAAAAGAATGGGACAAGTGGCAAACATGCGCATTTTTTTTAGGATAGTGGCAAGCAGGTGTCATTATAAAGACAATTTATTTTTTACCATGTTTGGAATTGAAATTAATTATCTTTTGCCATCTTTCTAATCTAATTGCATTGCTCAAACTTACGATCTTGTAGTAAAATGTACAACCTCCTTACCATTGTACTAACACGCCCAGTGGTATATTATCAACAAAAAGGGTGAAATTTTCGCAGTATATAAACAAGCGTAGCTATCCGCTAGAGGGCCTCACTTTACGCTTCTTTTTGTCACCATGAAACTGAATGTGGAACTTGTGCCGTTGCTGCTCCTATTCTTCAATCTTTCTCCGTGTGAGATGGCATATATTTCCGAAGAGGATGATTTAGACTTGGAAAGACAGGTCAAAACTATGAACAAGCCATTCATCAAGACCTTTTCGGTAATTTTCCTTCAAACCCTTTTTTGCAATTGTCTCATTTAAATTTCATGGAGATGTTGCAATTTATCCAGTTAATCTTTAAAATATGATTGCTGCCCAACGAATGACTAACTGTGTTTGATTTTATCTAGACTAAAGAAGGAGACACAATTGACTGTGTTGATATAAATAAACAACCAGCACTCGATCATCCTCTACTGCAGAATCATAAGGTTCAGGTAAAATTTATTATAATCTCCTAAATCTATGATGACCAATATCGAATAATTTAGTTGAAATGGTCTACTTGATACCTCTATAATCAGTTTTTTCTTCATGTAGACGGAACCGAATCTACATGTCACTAGCTTGCGCAGAACTTCTCTGAATGCAAAACCAGTAAAATTTGGGTTGAGAGAACCTTGCCCTAGTGGAACGGTACCCATTCGTCGAGTAACAAAAAAAGATTTGATGAGGGCAAAATCCTTGTCCAAGATGTCGTCCGTCACGGCTATGAGACAAAGTATTGTTTCTTCAAATCAACATGTACTATCCCTCTCTCCCATGCTCACATGCATATTTACACGCATACAATATCATAAGTGATTTTTTTTTCAATTCTATTAATGGGGTTATGTGCATATGAGTTTCATGAGACCACATGTCAAATGTCCACTTATGACAATCTCAAAATCTGTTCTTTCCATCATCTGTGTACAAAAAGAAAATCAATACATCTTTTAAAGTAGGACCGATAGGCATAGGTAAATAATATATTATTTAGTTTTCTTTCACTTTCTAGTAGTCTAAGTTGCAAATTATTATTTGCAGGTGGTTTCTCTAACTGACAACATGATAGAAAATATTAAATATGGAGGAGGTGGACGTACGTCAGTCTTCAATCTTACCGTTGCTCGTGACCAAGTCAGTGCACATAACGTGTGGATTGAAACTGGTCCCCCAGAGCATATTAGCATGATTGTAGCTGGTTGGATGGTAATAGGATTTTTTAAGTAGGTCAATGTCATAGTTCTTTTTTTTTTACACAAGAAGTTCAATATATGGTAAAATGATCTAAGAGAAAAATCTCTTATTTTCCTAGGTTTCTCCACAGTTATTTGGCGATACTGGTGCTTGGTTTTTCACATATTGGACAGGTGAGCTGTGAAGATAATTGTTAATTCTTGATTGAACCATTTTTTGACCAATTTTCGGGAATCCAAATTAGAAGTTGGAGATAATTTGAATCTTATTCACCAAAGCATTGTCCTCATAAGGTGATGGCTATCGCAATGGATGCTACAATGTACTATGTCCAGGTTTTGTCCAGGTGGATAGGGAAATAACCCCTGGTTATCCGATAAAACGTGTTTCTACTTATGGTGGACCTATAGCTGAGCTTGTAATCCACATTCAACAGGTATGTTTGATCTTTTCAAGGTTGTTAAGATAATGATTTTTGCTAAAATATATTAGAGACTAATAGTTTTGTTCTTCGAGTTAGCAACTTTCGCTATCATTCTACCCTACTGAAAGTATCCATATAAGCACATAATCAATCATTGCATCCATGTTTTATAATTATCATTGTCCCTAATACCAAGCATGGTGCGATATCACAAAGTTTATTGAAATAAACTAGTGTTAATAATTTCTGCGTTTTTACATTATTAGCACTTATTATCAAAATTTAGTTCTAATCAGGATAGAATTACCGGGAACTGGTGGTTGATTGTGACCAGTAAAGCGATTAAAGTAGGCTACTGGCCAAAGGAACTATTCCTGTATTTGCGCAATGGCTCACTACACACGGCTTGGGGAGGAATTGGCATAGCTGGAGGCAATGGATTCTGTCCACCGATGGGAAGTGGTCACAGGCCAGATGGTATTATTGAGCATGCCACCTTCTTTCGAAAACTCCATTGGGTTCGATCGGATGGCAAATTTCTACGTCCTTCAAATAAGACAAGGGAGTGGGTAGATAGATCCAATGTTTATGGTTTGATGATCCATCACCATTATCGAAAATATGGAAGTGGCTACATGATTAGCTTTGGAGGTCCAGGAGGTTATTGCAGGGTATAGAAAATTTACATGAAGAAGCTCTCTTGTTCAATTCAAATAACAAAGCTATTGATTTTCTATTTCACACCCTTTTGTTTGTAATTAGTGATGTTCATTTTCATTTCCTCTCTCTCTGGGAGTGAGGTGGCAATTGCACGTGATGCGACCTCAATGGTAACCATAATTCTTTTGATGGCTTCTTCGAAATTTCCAAATATGGTAAATTCCTACCAGCTCTTTCAACCAAAACGGCCGAGCAGATGGCTAAATCCAGCATCTATGGTTGGAAGATGACTTGCTAAACAATCACAAATAAGCTACATAAATTCATTATAGAGATCTGGCAAGTTGTTGCAGGGGATACACCTTAGAGGAAAAATACTTACCTCAAATAATTTGATAAGCAAAACTCTCTATTTTTCATTTTATCAACTCCCTTTTACAATTAATATTTCACATTTTCTTTTCCTTTCTTGAGATTGAGATCGCAATTACTAGTGCACTACAAAAAAACATGTTTTTTGCGACGGATTTTGCGACGAAAAAATTGCAAAAATCCGTCGCAAATTTTTGCAACGGAAAATTTCAATTTTCGTCGCAAGTTTGCGACGAAAAAAAAATTCGTCGCAAAAAATTCGTCACAAAAATCGTCGCAAATATTTCGTCGCAAAAATCGTCGCAAATTAGCCACGAACACTATCCGTCGCAAAGTTCGTCGCAAATATTTCGTCGCAAAATTCGTCTCAAATTAGCCATGAACACTATCCATCACAAAGTTCGTCACAAATATTTCGTCGCAAAATTCGTCGCAAAATTCGTCGCAAAATCCGTCGCAAAAATCGTCGTAAAATTCATCGCAAAAGTCATCGCAAAATTTGTCACTAATTTTTTGTCACAAATTTTCATCGTAAAATTCATCGCTAATTTTTCGTCGCAAAATTCGTCGCTAATTTTTCGTCGCAAAATTCGTCGCTAATTTTTCGTCGCAAAATTTGTTGCTAATTTGCCATGAAATTCTTTTTTTTTTGTTAATAATTTGCGACAAACTAATTCGTGGCAAAATTTGTCGCTATTTTGCCACGAACATTGTTCGGGAACGAATTTAGCGACGAATTTTTATTAATTCGTCGCAAATTAGCAACGAATTATAAAAATAGTTACGAATGTGCAGCAAAAATTTATTACAGGTTGGCCTCCTCACAACTGGCACAATGCAAATTGTATCTAATCCACGGCTGAAACCTGATATATCTATCACAAACTCAGCCTTGCAGAGTTCCTTCTAACCTCTGATATCAAGTACATGAATATTAGCAACAATAGTACATGCTTTAATATAAATTCTCAGTACATAGCTGAGCTCTCGAGGGAACCCTGAGCTTCATATCCTCGGCGGCCCACCACACCCTCCTCGAGATCTCCCGCCACCCCTTGTACACCCGCACCACCGCGAGCAGCTCCGCCGGCGGCAACCTCCTCAGGACCTCCCACAAACACCTGGCGGGCAACCCGCCGGCGTCCGCATCCCCGTCCACGAAATCCCGATCCCGCTCGTCGAGATCCGGCTCCACCTCGTCGAAGTCCTCCTCCTCCTCGTAGGCGCGGACGTCGAGGTCGTCGAAGGAGAGCACGCGACGGATGAGAGCGAGGACGGCGTGAGGGCGACAGCGGACGCGGAGGAGGCGGCAGCAGCGGCGGCGTTGACGGGCATGGAGGAGGTCGCGACAGCGGCAGCGACGAAGGAGGAGGAGGAGTCGGCGGCGGGGGAGGGGGAGGGGGAGGAGCCGGCATGGCAGGAGCGGCCCTTCTTGGAGAGGCCGCAGCAGCCGCAGTTGTAGCTGCCGCGCTTCTTGCCGCACTTGGCGGTGGCGTCGTCGGAGGAGGAGGAGGCGGCGAGGGAGTCGGAGGGGAGGAGGTGGGGCTGGTGGAGGCGGCGGATCATGGCGGAGGAGCGGCAGAGGAGGCTAGAGAGAGAGAAAGAGGGAGAGAAGTTAGAGAGAGAGAGGGGGGAACGCTGTGGTGGTGGGGGAATAAAAAGAGCGAGCGAAGGGGAGACGATGGCGCGACGGGGGATAGCGCGCAGGTTCTTGAAAATTTTCCACGCGGGTTCTTGAAAATTTTCGATCCAACGCAAATTTGTGACGGAAAAAAAAATTCGTCGCAAATTTTGCGACGGAAATAAAATCCGTTGCAAATTTGCGACGGAAAATAAAAATCCGTTGCAAATTTGCGACGGAAAATAAAAATCCGTCGTAATTTTGCCCCAAAAAAAAAATCGGACGTAAATTTGCGACGGAAAAAAAATCCGTTGCAAATTTGCCCAAAAAATAAAATCCGACACAAATTTGCGACCGAAAAAAAATCCGTCGCAAATTCGCGACGGAAAAGAAAAATCCGTCGCAAATTTGCGACGGAAAATAAAAATCCGTTGCAAATTTGCGACGGCAAAAAAATCCGTCGCAAATTTGCCCCAAAAATAAAATCCGACGCAAATTTGCGACGGAAAAAAAATCCGTGGCAAATTTGCGACGGAAAATAAAAATCCATGGCAAATTTGCGACGGAAAATAAAAATCCGTCGCAAATTTGCTATGGAAAAAAAAAATCCGTCGCAAGTTTGCGACGAAAATAAAATCCGTCGCAAATTTGCGACGTAAAATAAAAATCCGTCGCAAATTTGCGTCGGGGCAAATTTGCGACCGGATTTTTTTCCGTCGCAAATTTGCGATGGAAAATAAAAATCCGTCGCAAATTTGCGACGGAAAAAAAAAATCCGTCGCAAATTTGCGACCGAAATAAAATCCGTCGCAAAAATTTGCGAAGGATTTTTTTTTCCGTCGTAAATTTGCGACGGATTTTTTTTTCCGTCACAAATTTTTGCAACTGCTTTTTTTTTCCGTCGCAAAATTTGAGATGGATTTTTTTTTCCATCGCAGATTTTGTTTCCGTTGCAAATTTGCAACGGAATTAGCGATGGAAATGTTTTTACCGACCAATTTTTCAAATCCGTCGCTAATTCCGTCGAAACCTTGAGTAGATATGCTTCTACACTTTTACATATAATGTGACTAGCATTACGAACACTGTGGAGAAACATGATTGATGTGGATGTCATTGTTACAAACAGACTCGATTGACGCTTTCTCAAATAACAATAGGGCTCTGATACCAAGTTAAGAATGTGATAAAAGAAATTAAGAGCAAAATATATATATATATCATTGTCAAATGAAGAGTACACGAACCTATTTATCGGTTTTATAGGATGACTATCTAAAAGGGAAAATATCAATTACAATCAATTAAAGGAAATATAGGGAATCTTCTAAATATTTCTCTAATAGAATGCATGCCCTTTATTCACTTATCATTCGGATGTAACTCTTTAGGAGTAATTCATCTAATTGGTTAGATCAAATTGGTTAGGTCTAAATAAGAATATCTCTTTTATAAGATCTCCTATAGATATCCCTATATAGATACATTGACTTTACATTTCATACATCCACCCGATTCCGATCTATTTGAAAATTGCTATAATTTATTTACCCATATATTTACTCATACATAAGAGCTACGTGCGGAGGAAACCGCCACATTCAACTAAATAGATATCTGCGTTATCTATATCTAAGTCTTGAAAAAAGAAAAGATAAGATTTGCACCTATCGAATCTAAAAAAGCTTATTTGGGATGAGAACATTTTAAGAAATTATCTAATATCTTGAGTTTATAATAGATCTTCTTATCTAATTTGAATTTGTAAATCTAATCTCTCTTAGAATTGGACGTGTAGCAAATCGTCCAATCTCTTTTGAATTTGAACTTGTGACAATCATCCAATTCGTCTCTACTTTCGTCGCAAAATGGTAAATTTCATTGCACAAATTAGCGACAGAAAATAAATCCGTCGCAAATTTACGACGAAAAACTAGTCGTCGCTAATTTGCGACGGAATTAGCGACGAAAATTTTCCATCGCAAATTTATGACGAATTTTGCGACGGATTTATTTTCTGTCGCAAATTAGCGACGGAATTTGAGACGGAATTTTTCCGTCGCAAATTTGCGACGGATTTATTTTCCGTCGCTAATTTGTGACGGAAAATAAATCCATCGCAAAATTCGTCGCAAATTTGCGATGGAAAATTTTCGTCGCTAATTTGCGACGGAATTAGAAATCTGTCGCAAAGTTTGTCGCAAATTAGCGACGAAAAATTTCAGTCGCAAAATTCATGTTTTTTTGTAGTGGTGGTTAGGATTAGTAAGAATAAACTTTAATAATACAATAGGCTTGCTGATATATATATATATGATACAGTAAAAATGCAGAAGATGGCTGTGCTTTGCAAGCACCAAAAAGAAACCCAGAAAGGAGAGACACACTGGTTGAAGATGCTTACTGCATTCGTCCATACTATTGAAATTAACAACTTAGCCGTTTTATAGGCTGTACATCAACAAAAGAGATCCCAACAAAAATAAGATCTACTTTGATTCAAAATGGTGAACGTGTGCAGCAACATGCTGCCAACTAAGTCCTGAAAACTAGGACCCACTAAGTAACAGAAACACACGACTAGCTATTAATTGAAAAACATAAAAAACAACTTTGACTCTTTCTAACATGCCCTCCCTTAAACTGATACTACAAGTGATTAGTTTAAATGTGTAGAAATAAACTCTCCTTTAATCTAAGGCATCCATCGAACAAACTCCAAGGAGCTTCCTTAATTTCTGAAATGTGGCCATTTTAAGAGGTTTTGTGAACAAATCAGCAACTTGATCTTCACTTCTGAAGAAAACAAGATCAATCACACCATCTTTTGTAAGATCCCTCAAGAAATGATACTTCACATCTATATGCTTGTTTCTCCCATGTAGAACTGGATTCTTTGACAATTTGATGACTGAATTGTTGTCACAGAAAATTGTCGTTGCTTCTTCTAGTTTAAACCGAAGTTCTCCAAGAATCTTCCTTAACCAAATAGCTTGACAAGCACTCGAGGTGGCAGCCACAAACTCAGCCTCAGTGGTCGAAAGAGTAACAATTGGTTGCTTCT